AAATATTCGACTTTAATCTATTAATCTAAGAAAAAACAGAACAATCTCATTGGTTGAATGTGTTGGAACTTTTTTTTTTAATGGGCAAGCTATAAGAAATTAGAACATTGGAAAAATAATAAATCAATCAAGGATAATGAAATTTCCTTTTAATTCAGCAAAAAATCAAAATTACCGGCATGGCGAACTTTTTGATGAAGCTCCAAGCTTTCAATCTTTGGAAAGACCTCTCCACACTGAGTGCAAGCGCTTATTGTAGTTCTTGCAGATGGATATCTGAGTTTTTAGCCCAAATTAATAAATAATAGTAGTCTATGTTCTTTGTTTTTGTTATCGAAGAGAAAATGAGAAATTAAGAGGAAAATGAAAGCTAGCGCAGTGTACCTGCTAGGGTCAACGATCATGTGACATTCATAACAGCCTGAAAGCTTCCTAAATTGCATGCCTCTAGACGACGACGAGCACGTTACACCACTGTTGGATCTCCCTGAACTCATCAGTGACCGAGTTGATGATGACCCAGTACTCACACCTTTCCGGCTTAGTAGCCCAGTTTCTTGACCCAGTGTGCTACTTTCAGGTGAGTTATCAGCTCTATGAACAACCCTTGTGTTGCCATGAACAACGTCTTTGAAACTACATATTGAGCTGCAAGAAGATCCTAGTTTTGAGTATCCATTGGGGTTCTTTGATGGGTCGTGTACTCTCGACCCCTCGATCTGTTTGCAGGTCAGTAGGTTCTTGATTTGGTCCCATGAAGATGGTTGCTTTTCCTTTTCCTTTTGCAGCTTTCGCTTGTGCCTGGATGGTTGTTTTTGACGAGTCTCTTTGTGTTCTTGTAAGAAAGTGAGTGCAGCCATCACAAGCAAAGAAGAAAATAAAAGACAAGAGTAGCGGATAGAGTTCTCTGCTAATTAGTTCATGGGAGGGAGGGAGGGAGGGAGGGAGGGCTTGAGACAATGAGAGAGTTTTGTGCAATGGAGGGGGATCCGAGACAGGCAATAAGGAGGCAAATAGAGTGTGTTATGGTGGGTCTGGCTTTGTTTATTTACTTCACTTTTTTGTGTCAAGTACTGTTTTTTTCACACAAGTGAGGGTGCCTTTTGGAGAACCAAACCTGTCTTGATGGTTGACCATTTTGTGAGACCGAGTCAAGTATACATAGAAGGTTCGCCATGTCGTTTAGGGCCATTTGATGGGTGCTATGAGCCTGTAACCCACTGCTTAGAATTGGGAGGATAAGGTGGATACAACACATGTTATGTTGTTGGACGGCTTGCTATTTGGCTATTCTTGCAGAGAAAACATGTTTGTCTGCAACGAGTGATCGATCGATCCCATCGTTGGAGCCATTGTTCCCTTGTATCGTTGCATTTCCTTTCGTCTTCTTCCTTGGAATGTGCAAAGATTACGTTGGCAAAAGAGAATAGAAAGCTGGCCTCGGTGCTAAAATGTTGGCAACCATCCACTTGGACCGAGACCATTCAAGAAAAGGTTTAATCTAACAGCGAAAGTTGAGCAAACGTCAGAGACCTCGGTTGGATTCTTGCTTTAGAGATTAAAAGTGGAATAAAAAAACAGAAAAATCAAGTAAAATTAGAAAAAATCAAGTTAAACTAGTTTAAATTATTTTTTATTTTCAAAAATTAAACTGAATCAAAATCACTCAAACCGGTTATGATTTTTAAAATAAATATATTCAATTTGATTACTTTTTTTTTATATATAAAAATCAAACTGTACCAAAAATAATCACCAAAGCAGTTAGCAATTACCATATTCAATTGACAAAAATTCAATACCAGCTTATAAAGTTACTTGTCTACTGTTACTTCTAAGGAGACGGTGCCTTAAATTTTCAGAATATTCGTTCTGGTCCTTTTTAATGTTATCAGTTCAGGTTTATCCTCGTCTTTTTAGATGTTTTCTACGCTGAAATCTCCCCCCCCACCATTTCTGAATCTTTACTCCGCCCCTGGCAACCATTATTGGTTTTGTTGTTGTAGATGCCTTGGCTTTCTTTGAATCGTCTCCTTTATACCTTTCCTTACTTATTAATGATCATGTACTTGCCAACCTTTCTACTAAATCTTCCCAAGTTTTTTAGCGGCCGAGCTTTTAACCCCATGATTTGTAGTCGCCTGTTGTTGGTTTCCACATCTTTCACCTGAATTCCAACCACCAGTCCAATCGATCCCTATTCTCCTATATATCGGCATTTGCCGTTTTGCACCCTTCAGTCTCAGTGCAGGTCTGCAGTTCCCTGGCTTAAGAAACTCCGATTGTCAGGCTTACATCGGTCTCTTTGAATTACGTGGGCCTCTTCTACCTTTAAATCACTAATGAAACGGACTGCAATCTAGTTCGTTTTTATCGGTTAGTTTCATGGATATAACAGGAATGAAACGGACTGCAATCTAGTTCGTTTTGATCGGTTAGTTTCATGGATATAACAGGGTGAAAAGGTTCTTAAGTGCACGGGGCAACTTCCATAAAATACGCCTACAGGATGAAAAGGTTCTAAAATTGAACTGGTAAATCAACTTGTTGATTTGTTGGACAAAATAAATGATTTTCATACAAGCCAATGAAACACTTCCTACGTATCGATCCACACACTCCTGCAATATAGACTTGCCTCTCATTACTTCTTGAAGTTGATGACTTTACTGCAGAACTGCATACACTGATACAAGTAAACAAAAAACTCGGTCTAGTGGGCATTTCCTATCATATATTAAGCCGATATTCTCTGGATGTGTGGACATTTGGGTTGTTTTATGCATCAAAGCATAGACCAGTGGGGTACAGATTCCTAAGGAAGGAAAAGGTAAGGCGTATGAGCCAAAGAGACATCATATAAAACAAGGAGAAAGAATAGAAATCCTTGTAGGCTGTAGTAAAACGCATCTTTCTATGTCCATGTCTCCGGCTATCCACTTCCCTGGACAACATGAACAACGTGCCCCCGTTTCCTCTTGCAATGCCGAAAGCAACCTAGCTAGCAGTCACTTCAAACCTGGGCAGCGTCGCCTCTCATCACTTGGCTTCAGGGCTCGTCAGAATCCTAGGCTAAATGATCTCAATCCACAGTTCAATGCTTCGATCAACCCGGAGTTCACACACACACACAATCGGATTTTTTACGACAGGAAACGTTTTATCAAATTTTTCTGTCTGCATAAGTACATGCAACAAACATGATAATTGGGGATGATAACAATATTCGAAGTAACTCAATCCTCCCATGATTTAATAAAAAATCTTTTATAAGTTTTTTCATGCATTTTCCATATCTTAGAATTTTATTTAGACAGAAGAGAAAAACAAATTTTAATATGATAATCTTAAATTTAAATAGGAGCACATTAAGATTAGTATTGTTACGAGATGCATGTATCTTTGTATGTAATGAGAATCAAACAGAAAATAAAAATGGCAGAGAATAATAAGAAAAAAGGCGTCTTCGTGAGAGTTGTTAGAAGTCAGATGTAGATTTGGCCAACCATTCGCTTAATAAGAAAAAAAATAAATAGAAAAGGTGCTGTTCCCTTGTCGTCTACAACTCAAGAGAACCAAAGTCACTCTATGTCTGATCCATTAATATGGTACAATTATTATTAAATAAACAAAAATAATTTCCCACCACAATAACTAACTGAGACGATAATCTTGCAAAGTACAAGAAGTTGTTTTTTGTTTTTTTTAATCTTATTCGTTAATCAAGACATAGTCACTAAAATATTGCAGACATGGCTCCATATGCTGTTAGAGAATTAATTAATGAATCACTTTATAATTTATGGAACTGGTAATGTTTCTGCTTTCCCCACTGATTAATCACGTAAATTTCTATATATCTGCTGATGAATTTTAAAATATTAACTTGATGGTTGGTGTTCTTAATGATAATTAAATCTCTAGCTCCATCCTTTGCCTTGAATTCAGCAAACAAGCATAACTACTTCACTACCTTCAGTATTCAAGGCCGTGTGTGATATTTTTCCCTGCCGGCTAAGCCCTAATGCTTGATATATCCCATGTGCATCGTCACTGTATTCTCCCAGTATTAGGTGGAACATCACGTTCTTTGCAAAGAGACAGACAAATGAAGCTATAGAACTACTAGTAGCTCACAAGATTACTACGGGGCACTGACCGTCGCTGTTGTGATCATACACCGCAAGTTATTGAAAATAATTTGACTTGAATGCTAGCTTCCCACGTTTCATGTGAACAGGGAGTGTTTGTACACGCGTTCCCTTAAAATTTTAATTTTATTTTTATTTTTATTTAAATAATTTTTTTTGTACAGTTTGAGGAGAAAAGGCATGGTTGCAATTCTACACAAGAGGCATCATGCCATTTCTTCGAAAATACTCCCGGATTTTTTCTGACGGGCTTTGAAGCAGAAAAATTAGCTTCTCTGTAATTTGGAAACGCGGTTGTCACTGGTGCATCCATAAACAGGTATTCGGACAAGAATATTCCACTGTTTTTGCTTCGGGTTAGGATCTGAATTCATTTTTTATTTTCCTCTTGGTCATTGTCAGATCCTCCGACTCACATCACTAGTCAGGCAGTAAAAGCATAAGTCAACAGTAATTAATTTTTTTTTAATTCTTAACTCAGTCAAAACCCATGTAAGATTCAACTATTCTTTTTTATTTTTTATTTTCAAAATCATTGTCGTTTCAATTGTATTTTTTTCTTTTTTGAAATAACCTATTTTGAATTTACACGGGTTAAGTGAACCAATCCATAAATCAGGTCTTGACCGAGTTTGGGTTTTGTAATTTATGATTTATGATGAATTTTCAAATAGATTACTTTGGATACCACATACAAGAGGGCTCCAAATTTGTTCAGAGTGGGTTACTACAGGCCCACATCAAGAGTTTCAAAACTTATCTCTTTCAAGACGGGCCAACACTAGACTTTTCATGATCCCATAAATATTGGGCTCGCTAGTTTTGAACCTCCCACGGTTAGCACTTAAACCCTAATTCTTTGGGATTTGTGCGCCTTCGAAAATTTAGAAAAAAATCATTCGCTTCTTGAATGCTTCACTGCGGCAAATTCAAGCAATAGAGAGTACCAAGTCTGTTGCTTTGTTCTGTATTCTTTCAATTCTTAAAAATCACAATAAGGGGCCAAACATGTCCCAAAATAACATTCAGTCAAATTCAATTCAAAATCCTAGAGTAACCTGGGAAGGTTGCAGTGTCTTGCTCGACATTAACGACGGCGACCGCCTTGTTTTTGCTCGATTAACAGCTGGCTCGTAAGTTTTTTTGCTTTTTTTTTGTTTTATTCTTACAATTAACAAATGCTTATGTTTTCTTCTTCTTCTTTTTTTTCATTTCTTTTTTGAAATTTGTAGGACGTTGAAAATTGGAAGTAAGAATTTCTCTTTACGGCCCTTGATTGGATGCCCCTTCGGTTCTTCTTTTCAAATTGAGAATGGGACTGAAGGGCTTTGTTTATGTAGGTTTGTTCCTTCCACGGAAGTAGGTATTGTGCTTGAGCTCTTGTTTAATTGTTTAATCATGGATTAATTAAGAGCTTTGTCTTGGTTTGCTGATTATTATTTTTTAATATTTGTTGGTAGATAATAATGATCAAGAAAAAGGAGGTTCTCAAATAATGGAAGAATGTAGGGATAACCGAGCTATTGTTGATAATAATGAAGCCCAGACCCTAACTAGTGGAGACATAGATGAAATGCGGAGGTGATTTGCGTAATTTTTTATGATTTTATTCTCGAATGCGGGTTAAAACGTTGATGCCATAGCTTATAGTTTTTGTCAGTATGATTTGCAATCTTGTTTCTTTAAGATAGGAATCGTAAACTTTGTTTGGTGCAGGCAGGGTGTGAAAGGTGATGAGATAATTGAAGCTCTCATTGCCAATAGTGCAACATATGAGAAAAAAACAACATTTTCTCAAGTAAGTTTGATGTCGGAATGGATGAAGTTTTGTTGGGCCAAAAGGGCTTTGATTGATATGCTCATGTACTGTGTGGTTGCAGGAGAAATATAGGATTAAGAAGCAAAAAAAGTATGCCCCTAGAGTACTTCTGAGGCGACCTTCTGCTAGGAGGTAATCTCTTGCTTCATCTCTAGTTAGTTTATTTTTTTTGTCACCTCATTGGAATTGGCTGGATTGCTTTTTAACTAAGTCATGTTTTGTAATTTTATAATAAGCTTCGTCATGAAACAAATGGGCTTAAAGTTTGGTGAACGCTGTTTGAAAATGTCAAGTAACCTGATTTTATAACTGACATATTATTATTCTTGTTTATTTCAGCATATGCGAGGCGTACTTCAAGAAATATCCACATAGAATCGGGTAGTTTTATGTTATTAATTAACTCCATGATTTAAGTTATTTGATTTTAGTTTCTAAAAATTTTTGTTGTTCAGGATTTTGTTAGTTTATTTGATATCATTTTAAAGCATTTTCATTCTGCATCCATTCCCTGAAGTTGAACATTGAAAGAGAGACTATCTAGCTTAGGGTTTTTAGGTAGTTACAAGACATAGATTGAAAAATTACAGCATAGGTGAGGGATGAGTGAAGGATTATGGCAAAAAACCAGCATGACCATTGGGTATCTTAGATCAATTACCATAAGAGTTTCTTTTAATAAAAGTAGAGGATTGAAGGGGTGGATAATTATCAAATTATGTAAATAGGAAATAGCTTTATGAATATCAGTATGATTCATGGTTTGTTGGTTGTTCTCATTTAGATGTATGTGGTCTTTACTGTTTCGTTGGTATCTGAATTCTCTGCCTTCAATACAGATTCCTGCGAGTAGATGCATTATCCCTGTTGCTTTCACTTGCTAATGTTACTGCAAACTCTGACATCCTGTTAGTGGATATGGTTGGTGGCCTTCTTACTGGTGCTGTGGCAGAGCGTTTAGGAGGTTTGATCTCTGATTTCGTCTGAGAAGCCCTTCGAATTCTATAGCTTTATAAAGCTGTTTGCTTTATGTAGTAAAAGAGAAATACCACCAAGAAAGGGAAAACCAAGCTTTTTGCTTTAATTATGTTTCTATTACTCCTCAGTTATCCTTTTGACAGGATTCAATATATGATAACTTTTCAATTCTCAAGCCATCAAATAAATGAAAAAGAAAACGAAAGTGTTATTATACCCTTGCCACAATCATGAATGTATCTTCTTACATGTGTTTTCTTGGCTTAAACCACTGTAGCATGTAATTTCTGGTTGTGAATGATGTTATTTGTTTAGCAGGTACAGGTTACGTTTGCAATACATATCTTGGAAGTACACCGTATCCTGTGGAGATAGTCAGAACATTCAACTTTGATAATGAAATCTGCAAAAGGTACTTTGTGTTGTTAGTTTCATCATAGTTCCAGAAAGTGGAGAAACATGACTCGCTTATGGGAAAAAAATGATCTGTGTTACCTCGTTTTTCAAAAATAGTTGAGAAAGCATAGGGTTCTTTTTGGTATGATGAACCAGACAAGACAAAACAAGTTCTGATATATTTGGTGCATACTTTGGACATGACTGGACAAGTTGTGAAGTATTTAATGCACATTTTGAATCCTTGTCATGTCTTGAGTTGTCCCAGGGCAAAATTCTAGTTCCACCATAAGGGGTGGAACAAGCTTGTCTAATATCACAGACAAAAAATATCATTTCTCAATTTTTCATATTATCCACTTTTCTATCACTCATTTATTTTTTAATTTGGTAGGCTAAAATTTGACCACATTTATTAAAATGAATACTTACATATAGAGGCTTAATTGCAAAAACCTTTTGATTTAGAGACTAAGTTGTACTTATCATAAAATTAGAGAATCAAGAATATTACAAGGACTAAAATGTCATAAAAATAAAATACAGGGATCAAAATAAATTGTTGAAAAAACTCAAAACACTAGAATGAACATTTGCAAAACAAATTATCTTGCCTTATCCAATGTGCTCCAAACACAAGACAGGAATATGTATTGTCCAGTCTAGTGTAGTCCAATCCAGTTTCATCAACTACCCAGTTCAGTCCATTTCCATTTATATTGTCCAGTGACTAGTCCAGTCTAGCATACCAAAAACATCCTAGTTATTGTATAATATGAAGCAGCTGGGACTTCTATGTAGAATTATTTGATATGATAGCCCTTCCTGGTCAGCGACGGGAGATTTTAATATGCATAGGATCAGCATGACTCTTGCTTAGCCTCTTCTATACAAGAGATCCTCTGGATTCAACGTTGCTTTCATCTTTTGTTTCTAGCATATTCGCTTTGATTATGTTTTCTATCTAAACACAGGAATTTCATTTGAAGGAATTAATATTTTCTTTCCAGGATTGTGCGGGCTCCTCTGCGTGACCTCTGTTTAGAACAAACTGGAACATCCGAGATAATTGATGCCAGCAATGCAGAATTAAATGTTAGCATTCTTTTGCTCATTGCCAGAGTATGTTTTTATCTTGCACACCAGTAACTGTTTTGGAGAATCAATTCTTGTAGGGCCAAACCTCCTCCATCAACATGGAAGAAATGTCTCTTCCATCCAACCACGAGGCTGTGGATTCAGAGACTATTATCTCTCCACAAAGTAAAATGGGCAAACCCCCTAAAGCTGGTGAAAAGGCATCAGAAGAAGCCATTAAGTCATGGAAGGAAAATGGGTTCTCTAGGTAGCTAGATGTGAATAATTTGTTTATTAGTCAATAGAATCTATAAATGGATATTTTCTATTTCAACATTTTTTTAGTTTTCAAGCATAGTCAATAATTCTAGCTCACTCTGTGTGCAGTCTAATAATTGCTGCTCCAGATGCGGATGCTTGGAGCTTAGCGAAGGATCTACTGCCACTTCTATCATATTCAGCACCATTTGCTATCTACCACCAGTATCTTCAGGTCATTTGATTCAAATTATTGAGATTTGTTCAAATTAAGACTTGCTAATGCATTATTTTCTATAATAGATGGCAGTTTATTAATAATTAATGCAGTATTGTTACTGGATAATCTTTTGTAGTATTACTGGATAGGCTTTCACTCATGGTAGAATATTTTCTTAATTGCTATTCTTGTTCGAATGCAGCCACTTGCAACATGCATGCACAATTTACAGCAGGGGAAAATGGCAATTGGTTTGCAAATTTCAGAACCTTGGCTACGTGAATATCAGGTTTGTTGGCTACATTTGTGATAAATTTGGAAAACTTTTCTGTCTACTGTTTGCGTGGTGTTGATGTTTTAGTTTGGAGTTTGAAGTTTGTGGGGGAAATCAAAATGGGAGTTTTCAAACAGAATCATATCATATGCTTCTTCCCCTTGATATGTATTCTCGAGGTGTAGAGGCAGAGAGTATAATTCTTCTAGGGGATGAAGATGCAGTGATTCAATATTCCCTGGTGTTTTCTGATGCAAATGCAGGTTCTCCCATCAAGAACTCATCCATTGATGCAGATGAGTGCCTTTGGGGGTTACATTCTCAGTGGGACCAAGATATGTAGCAGTAGCTAATCTGGACTCCCAGAGAATAGTACATCAAACCTAGCTCCTTCGTCCATGTTGGCTGCTTGTTGGCAAGCGAAATACCCTGCCCATGAATTGGAAACCTGCAGCTCTGCAAATTGAGTTTTTTTAGATAGGATTGCAATATGGTTTCTGTAGCTTGATTTTTTCTCCTGCCCGATCTTGCACTTGCAAGACGTGCAACTTGCTGTTTCATGCAAGTTATATTTTGTGATTTCAAGACGGAACAAATCAGATTATTTTTAGGCTACCCACCTGTGTGCTTCGGTATCAAATATAATTTCTGGAAGTGTTTAGGGTAATGATTCATTCCGCCTTACACGTACTAGCCTGTTTGGCCCCGTTTTTATGTTCGTTGTGGTGAGTTTTGAAATTAAATTTATCAAACTATTTAATATGTTGTTAGTAAGTTATTTAAATTAAAATTAATATTAAGGATATAATTAAAATTAAATAATTTTTAAAAAGAGTAAGTTATTTAAATTAAAATTAATATTAGGATATAATTAAAATTAAATACTTTCTTAAAAAATGAATTCTTTCTGTATGAAGCACACAAATATTATATATATAAAAAAAACACAATAAAATGGACGCCATAATCAAACATTACATAGCTTTTTTTTAAAGTACATAACTATTCAATAATTTAATAAAAAAATCTAATATACTTGAAATAAAATAATTGAAGTTGAACACTATATATAAAGCAAAATTTATTTAAACTAATTAATTTTAAAATATTTATGATTAATTTTTAAGTAAAATAAGTAGCTTTTCATCTCAAAAAACATCACTTTTCATTCTTTTAAATTATAAGCTAATATACCTTTAAACTGATTTTGTAAAAAATATCGTTCACTTAAAAAAAAATTAAACAACTAATTTTTAAAATTCCAATCAAATATGTTTTTTTTTAATATAACTTCAAAATAAAACTCTAAAAGAACCAAAAGGGGAAAATGTTTCAGTTTCCTTAAATGGGTTCCCAAAAAATATTTAAAAAGTAAAAATCCACGTGTGGCCTTTGATCGTCAAGAGTTTCCTGACAATTCTAATTTAGAAACTTCACACAAAAATAAAATGATTATACATCAACACGTGAAATTCGATTTCCTAGAAGTAGAAACGTTATCTCGTTCTATTTCTCTCTCAACTTTTGTATGAAAGACACCAGATGTAATATCTTATATTAGTGGATAATTTTTTTTAAAAAAATCTTATATAAAAATATTTACTTTAATTGGTAAGATGGGTTTTCAGGCCATACATGACTGTAAAAAACATATCGATAAAATCCCATGAATCAAAATAGATAATATTTTGCTGATAATGTAGAATATTATATAAAAAGAATAAATTTTATATTTTCAAAATAACATTTTATTTATAAAAATTACTAAATTAGTACTTTAATAATTTAAGATCCTTCCCCGTCAAATTTAACAACACACAACTAATAAAAAAAAAACGTGATGTCATTCAATAGGACAAATGTCGAATATATCCCTAAACTATCACCAGTCCTAATTTTGCACCCAAAATGCCTTTTATATTAATTTTATTATCATATTATATTATTTTGATTTTTTAGTAAGAATTTCTGTTACAATCACTCAATGGGAAGTGTTAGTATTTTTTATAAAATGATTTAATTTTTAATAAAAAAATATAATATGAATGAAACATTAATGAAAAGTCTTAAAAATATATGAAAGTCGTTAATTATAATTTTTAAAATTTTAAAATAAAATTGACAAAGTTGGACCAACTTACACAGTTGAGCTGGTGTTTTATGGGTTTGTCTTATTTAATATCAATATTTCAAAATTAGGGTTTATCCAATAGAAAAGCCCAGCCCAATCCAAGCCGAAAAAATTTATAGCAGAGGGGCGTCCAATCCAACTGCCAACAAAAGGCGGGCGTACGCATTCGAAACTCACCTCCTCACCGCTTCTCCCCTACGATTCTCAAACCCCTCTCTCCCGGCAACTGCTGTGTTCTTCCCATCCTCTCTAATCCTTCCGTACCTAAATCGGTTTCTCCCTCCGCCTCCTCCCTTTAATTACCTCCTTTTCTTTGTCCAATCACCGCCCTTTTTACACTCACAAATTCCTCCCCTTCACTTCCCTCCAAACACTCTCTCAAAAACCCCTCTCCCCCTCTCTTCATGGCGAACGCCAGCGAAGATCCGACCCGGACAATCAATCCATCGCAATTTCACTTTCATTTACTTCACTCTCATTCTCACTTTCAAAATCAGAATTTATTTTCTTCTTCAAATAATTCAACTCCGTCAAATCGACTGTTCCCTTCCTCTTTCCGAAAACCTCACCACCCGCCTCCTCCTCCTCCTTCTCCTCCTCCTGATAACAACAAAACTCCTATCGGCTTTCAATTCCATAGTTCCAACACGCATTCTGCATTTCGTGACGTTGCGGTTAGTTAGTTTTACTCTCCTCGTCTTTTCTTTTCCTTACTTATTTTTCTGCTTAAATTCGTATAATTATTGATTGATATTCATTGTAATTATTTTTATTGTTTAACACACACACACACACTCGATCGAAGCTTTTTTTTAAAAAAAAAAAACAAATTGAGCTTGTAATTAAAGTAATAATTTTCTTCCCTGGAGAAAATATTTAGTTATTGTATATATGAAAACTCTCTAGCTTTAATAAGAAACACAGAAAATTGCAAAAACAACGTAACTATAACTACCTAATGCGCTAGGCGGTTCGGTGTATTGGAGACAAGTGTCGTATTTTAATTAAGGTTGCACTAGAATTTGTTGTCTAGAGATTAAATTAAGTTGCAATTTAATTACAAATTGTATGATATTTATTACAGCTGGGAATGAAAAGTGAAAGTGATGATCATGAGGTTTGGACTAATAGAGATACCGCTTTCCCTGCGCAAAGTGATATAGTTACTGATCAAACTCTTACTCGTTGGTCATCTTCTGGGGGTAAGCATAAAAATAAGTCAAGGGTTCCGAAACATGCCAAATCAGTGACTCAAAGAATTAATGCTGGTAATGTACTTTTGCATTATCGACTGGTAAATTTCTGCATGTTGTATTATTGAGCCTGTTAATGGGACGTTGATGTAGAAATTCTGGTTAAATTGATGTTCAATTGCAGAGTCTCCTAATGGACTGAATTTGGCTAGTGGTTGTCGATATGACAATTCTTTAGGTAAGTTTTGATTAATTGGGTTTCGCATTCTTGTAGTCTAGAATATTGCATGGTTTATTCTATTTGCACATATAACAAGCATTCTTATGTATCTACTTACGGTTAACTTGGGTGGATTTAAATTTAATGTTGCTGTGATGATTACTTACAATTTACAAATGGTCAAATTTCTTTTGGACAGGCTTGTTAACCAAGAAATTTGTCAAGTTGATCCAGGAGGCTCAGGACGGGACCCTTGATCTGAACAAAACAGCTGAAGTGTTGGAGGTATGGACTATGTTATGGGCTATGCACATCTGCTGCTAAATAAGAAAATTGAATTGCTTACACTGGAGGGTTCAAATAAGGTTTTCTTTCCTGTGCAGTATCTCTCCTTTCTCATCACAACTAGTGATATTGTGAAATCATATGTAATGCTTTTTATAGGGGTATGTGTAGTGTGAGTATCTTTGCTATAAACTGAACTTTTTTGACATGATATTGATTTTGACAGGTCCAGAAAAGGAGGATATATGATATTACAAATGTTTTGGAAGGAATAGGATTAATAGAGAAAACTTCAAAAAATCATATACGCTGGAAGAAGTAATGACACCAATCTTTTCTCGTGCACTTCCTTTGTTGTTTGCTTTGCATGGCTGGTAATTGACCATTGGACCTTCTAAACAGGGAATTTGATGACTGTGAGCAAAGGATGTTGGATAATCATGCTAGAATAAAGGTATTTCTTCGTCATATCCTTTTCAGGAGTCAGATGCTTTATGATGGCTTCATTCTTTCTGCACTGATGACTGACACACAATGGATTGGTAGCATTTTCACGTAATGATGATGAGCATTTGTTTGAATTTCAAAAAAATTCAAGATTCAAACTCAATTTGTTTTAGGTGCCCAGTAAATAGGTCTTGCCTCAGCTTTCTTAGGTTTAGGTTGTCGATGTTAGATTTTGAATGTAAAACCAGGTTTTTGCAACTCAAAAGTTACTGGTGAAAGTTATGGGTCATATTTTTAGAAAGTGAAAACCTGTTGGCCTTTATGGGAAGAAGGTTGTGATTGTGCTCTATGATTTATGTACTTAACATATTTCAGGGAACAATGAGCTAACATTAAATGACCTGTTTATCACTCACTAATCAGTAATTTCTGAAGCAACCCTCTCATGTTGTGGATTGATAATGAATTATCAGTGTGTGGAAGATGCAGTGAGCATGTGGTGATTTGGACATGTAAGATCAAGTTGATTTTGTTAGAAATTGATGGTAACTGATACTCTGTAACGAAGGCACTGTCAGTTGACCTTTCAGCTTTCTACACTTCTAAGAGGTAACACTATGAAATATTAAAGTCACCGGTCTTACTACCTGTTTATCTTTGGATTTGATTACAGGCTGAAGTGGAAAGTTTATATACTGAAGAGTTCAGGCTTGAGGAATCTATAAGGTTGGTTGAGTCAATCTTTTTATTTATATTTTTTCTAGTCCTCTGTGGTTAGCTTAGCTCTTATCATGTTCTTTTTCCAGGGATAGACAAGAACTTCTGAGACGCTTGAAGGAAGATGTGGTTTGTCGAAAGTATGCTATTTTCTCCCCCAGATTTTATGGTTTCAATATGACTTGTTTTGTTTATCTGCCTACTTGGTTTTGTTAGGCATCTCTTTCTAACAGAGGAAGATATTACCAGCCTTTCATGCTTCCAGGTATGCAAATCCTGGGATTGCTTTGAAATCTCTTTGCTATCATCTCCCAAATTTCGTGATGGTTATTACTTATGACACTACTGCTGCAGAATCAAACACTTTTTACAATAAAAACTCCTGAAGCTAGTTATCTGGAAGTGCCTGATCCTGATGAGGTACTGAGTGTGGATACGTGGAACTTTAAAAATTGTTGAAATTTATTTCTACCTGATGTAATGCTTATTTGCATGGGCAGGATATTGGTTCTCCGCTATACAAAATGACAGTTAGAAGCACCAATGGACCCATTGATGTGTATCTCTTGAGGTAACATGCACCACTGACATACAGTGTGCACTTGGTTTCCATGCATGATTGTGTTCAAAATCTGCTACAATTTCATAATGCCATTTTGATTATGGTTGTAGCAAATGCGAACAAGGTGAGGACATAACCATGGAGCATGTTGAACCAATGGATACAAGTACTTGGAACAGTAGCCAATGCAGAGACCAAGATGCAGGCTTGCCTTCAGAGTGTCAGGGTAATCAAAACAGTTGTTGTGAACCATTCAGCTCACTAACTCTAGAAGCATCTGGGATTTGTAAGTTAATTCCTGCAGACTGCAATGTAAGTATTGGAAGCTTCAAATTGGTTTCATAACAGTTTCCTAGTTGATAGTTCCGATCCTGCACACACACACAAATGCACTTTTATATACTTTCTTTGGTGTTTGGTCACGGTTAAGGAAACTTAATTAACCTGTTTGCCTGTGAACCATCCTGTTGCAGATTGTTGATGATTACTGGTTCACAACAGATGATTCAGTCAGCATTTCAAAATTGTGGGTTGATCGCATCTCTTAACATTCTGTTTTGATTCACCAAGTTCTGATTTTTGAAATATATGGAACTGCCTTGCTATTGGAGAAGTCTGGAGGCTAACTCTCCACTTGACCTTTATATGTTTATCACATGCTATGCAACTGACGTAGAGAGTTTTTTCCTCTTGGATGACCTCTCATCGCTTCTGCCATGACCGTCATCAAGAGTAACTGTTGTTCCTGATGTAAATGAAAATTAGGCAGTAGGTCGTTCAAGCAGACTGGAAGGGTAATTTTATATCCCCTCCACTTTTGCAAGTGTAAATTTTATAGCTGGATGTTTTCTTTTCTTTAATGGCAATGATGGTTATTTTTTAAAAGATTATTAATTATCCTAATCCCATCTCTTATAAGGGTTGTTGGGGCTGTAGTTTCTGCAAATGTGCCTACTGCCGGGCAGAGCGAAAGACCGTCTCTCGGCCTTGGTGTCAATAGTGGGCTTGGAGAGTCAAGAGCCAGTGTGCTTATGACCATCTGGCTGCCTGTGTTGATCAGCAACACACACAATCCTTCATAAAAAAAAAGGTGGGGGGCATTTTGTACACTGTTTGGGTGCTGATGGATCATAGTTGAGGGTGTGCTCCCTGAGCTTTTGCAGCAGTCAGTGGCATGATCTTCTAATCATCAATTCTTTTTTTCTTCTTTTTTTTTCAAGTTGACCTTCCAATGTTCAAAATAATCCAAAATAAAATATGAACTGTATCAAGACCTGAATTGTAGAGTCACCAGATTGACCTATGGAGGGGAGCTGTGATCAATAACTATGATCAAGATTGAAGTTGACATTGCATTAGTGCAGCAAGCAGAAGCTGTCCTCGTCTCTGAAAGTGATGGTATATACCATGTGTGCTCGGTATTTCTGGCTAAACACGAATGACACTGCAAAACACCATTGCTCCAAATGGCTTTCAGCATCCTAGTTTGCGCGCTAGTATCTTCTATAAGAGGAAACTTCACTGTGAAAACTGTCCCGCGTTGTATGTGGCAAGGAAGTTCTATCCCAGACGTTGACAACTAACAAACCAAATAACTGCAGGCATTACCTAACAAGGAGCTCTCGAAAGCTCGTTGAATAAAAATCATTAAAGCACGTAATCAAGTCCATGCTAATACTACATTAATTAGTGTGATTACAGACCCAAACAATTACAAACCGTACTATCTGCAGGTCCAATGTTAAAAAGTTTTTCATTTTTCACGATTGCCGTGAGGGAGGTTAGTGACCACATTCTCAAAACAAAACCTCAGTTTTAAAGGGATTATAGGGCAACAGGCTCACATCAAGTATTCCTAATCAGTTTAGGTGTACGGGTACAAATATTTTAAATAAGCTTCGGTGTAAGAGTCAGTGGCAAGTTAAAATTTTGCTTTCCTGTTTTGACTGGGAAAGTTAAATTTATGCCAGTTCTTTCCTTTACCCTTAAAAAATGAAAGATCCTCCTAAACTTTCGAGGAACAAGCCTCTACCTAGCTTGTTATTTTTCTCTCTTTTGGTATTAAATTGCTAGAGCTGACAGCATCATCAGATAATAGATAAGTCATCACATACTTTAGACAAACCTAAAAAAAACATCAGAACTGCAATCTTTCAATATTCTTGATGCCTTTACTTTAGGTCTAGGCTTTGTGGCACTGTGCTATCCACCAAATTTCTGCAGCGTATGCTCCACCATTAGATATAAAAAATCCCATCATGCCGTGTCAATTTACACTTACGTTTTCAACAACTGGTAAACACTATACAAGCCAACTCTAAAATTTGTAACCCTATCCAATTATATTATAGAGTGCAAGTGTGGCGAGTCAGATTGCATGATGAACCCAAGACCCTTTATTTGCCAACTTGAGTTCAAACAATTAAGCAACAAATGGAATTGGGAAACAGAAGATTACAAATTTACACCACCGTCACCGAAAAAAAAGGAAAAAAAAAAAAAACCATACCCATCACCGTCCACCTACTGATTAAATACTTGTGCTGGGGTCTAAAATTGGGAAAAATTTGACACCGGTCTTCATCGGTTTGTTCCAGAATGGGTTTTCCTCAATCTGACCTGTGTATCCCGGGTTGTTTGCTCCATCAAAGTTTCTTTTGGTGTAGGGTTTTTGTTTTTGTTTTCTGAAGATGATGGCACGTCTTCAGTCTCCATTGCTTCTTCCTCGGTTGGTTTAGGTTGGCTGGAAACTTCAGATGCTGTTTGGGCATTTGAAGCTGTTGCAGGAACTGCTGCTTCAAGCACTTGAGAAGGACCTGCCTCTTCCGCTACTTCCATTTTGTGCTGACTTGAAGATGTGCTAGAAGTGGGAGATAGAGGTTCTTCAGGCTCTGCTTGTGTCGTAGCTGGTTGACGGTTTGATGAAGGTTGACGGCTGGGAGCAGAAGGTTGGCGAGCCCTAGCACCTTGCTGCTGTGGCTGTAATATCGAAAGTAAAATTGGCATGAAAACTGTAATATAATGTATAACTCAAAAGGATAGCATAGATTGTTTTCAATCACCGCTCTTAAAATACAGTTTCCCATATCACTTATATGCAAGGTTCTTAAAGGACAAAAGTTCAAATTTAATTCCACATTACTGACTAGCTGCAAACTACATACACAACAATTCATCAATTGATGCTGATAGATCATTGTCAAACCTTGAAGAAAACAACTGGATGATTGCATCAAAGAAACAAGACAGCATATTGGTCCATTTACAAGAACCATCAAACTCTGTATTAGAAGATAATGGCAAGAACATACGAGTATATACTCCTAATTACACTACCTGAGCAGGGCGAGGCCTTCTTGTTGACTGTGCAGCAATGTACTGCAAAATCTCAAAAACTCTTGTCTGACCATAACTTGCTGCTCTTTGCCAATATACAAAAATCATATCTCCAGCCCTAGTCCTCAGCTCCAACAAGCTGCGATCTATTTCATTCTCATGCTTCGCAACATATGGTTTGAAGAAGGAATCGTACACATAGGAGGTTCCCTGAAACAAGGAAAGGAGGAGAAATTAATATAAAGGTAAAGATCCAAGAACATAAGAAAAACATTCTTATAGGCAATTCATAATACAAACCTTAGTTTTAGGGTACCATAAGTATATGTAAAATGCCAACTTAGCCTCGCTGTACATTGGGACCCTTCAAGAAACCGAGACAGCAAAACAAAATGAACATGCCAATCGCCATTTTGAACACAAAAGCTGGGTTTAAGCAGAGAATCAATACCATGAAATAAAAGTATCTCCAATTCTCTCACAAACTGTCAAAACCGCCACTAAAATCCTGCAAACAAAGAGAAAATGAAACCCACTTATAACCCTAAAAAATACGTTCCACTAGTTCACAAACATCAAATCACGGTAGAATACCAATACTGGCACCAAAATCGGAGTTGCTCAATCTCTGGCTTATTCAATTCGACCGTTTTATAGCACTCATACGCTGGATAAGCATAGCCAAAAACCATCCTGCCAATACATTACACCATTTTTAATTTCGACAATAAAAAAAAACCTTTAAATTCAAATAAAAAAACAGAATTAATTAATCAGGTCGCCGGGAAACATACACAAGCCCTCGTGTTAGAAATGATCCAATCATTATGTATACCTATCAATAAAATAAAAAAACTAGTTAAAATCCAATGAGAAAATATTTAATCATTCAAAATTTATTTAAAAAAAAAACTCAAATTAAAAAAAATCACATAACAACCAAACAAACCGTTTAAGACATGTTCGTCACTAAAACTAGAGCAAACAATTGCTCAATAAACCACTAGAAAAAACAAAATCAACAAATAAAAAGTGAATAATCCCGAGAAAATTTCTATTATCTAAAACTCCACCTCCTCGCCATCAAAATCTATAACAAAAGGCAAAAATTAGAGTTAAAATACTAAACAAACTACAAAAATTAGGCTAGAAGAAACCGCAATGCCAGTAATCGGACCGAAACAAAACTAAAAACCGCAACAACTTATCTGTGGTAAAAATACGAAGAAATTCAGATAATTTTACAAAAACAAATTAAGAAAAATGAATATTCAATACCTTTTTACAAAGATTTTTATTATTGCGATTTTTTGTTGGCACACCAGAAAAAGAAATTTATCAAGAGCAAATGAGAGTTGCTAACGATCACGGCAACGAGTGGAGAGATCGAAGAATGGAAAAGGACGTTGAGACTCTTCCGTACAGAAATATCGGCGCAGCCGGTTAGCAACAGCGCACCGTTAGAGGTCGGCGTCGGGGTAAAGAGAGGGGAAAAATTGAAAGGGAAGCTAGAGAGAGATAGAGCAGCTGAGGCTCTTTTGGTCGTTTCTTTAAAATTCTTCTAATTTTGGCTTTTGAGTTCCGCAATTTAAAGAGAGATATTTTCCTGTGTGCGAGAACACGAGGATGATGTAACTGCTAGGGATTAGTCACCGTCAAAATGTTAACGGACGGGTTACGTGCTGTAGAATTTGTGAGGTTTTAACAAGTGTAAAGTGTTGCTGTTGTATGCTATCGCTTCCAGTTTAAATCTGAAACTGACGTGTAAAATTTTTTGTTGGAACGGGAAGACTGTCACCTGCTGGTGTTCTAGCAAGGCAAGAGCGCGTGCGGTAAACTTTCTTCGATATTTCACTTTGACCTCTTTAATGTAAATTTGCTGATATGATCCCAGTGATTTGAGAAGGTCCTCGTGTTCTATAATAGTTAGACAATATTGTTAGAATTTTTATAGTGGTATAGTTTCTAAAGCATTTGGCAAAACATTGTCACGTGTATGGATATGAGGGGGTGTGGATGGAGTTAGCATACAGATAGCTGTAAAAAAAATAATTTATCAGTGTGTATGGATATGAGGGGGTGTGGATGGAGATAGCTGTAAAAAAAAAAAATTATCAGCAATATTTGTATTATTAAATCTAATTTTATTATTCAAGGTCATATAATATATATATATATAATAATGGGTTGAAAATTTTAAAAATAGATATCATATATTAAGTGATGGAATAATTTTTTTTAAAACATGGTTAACTTAGCTTGACTCATATGTCAATTTTTTTATGTTACATGTTTTATTTTATTTTTTTACAATTGATTCTTGTATTTTAATTGGTTGATATAATTGATGTACTAATTCTAAATTATACACTTATAACAAATTTTGGTTGGTTTATTGAAACCGGATCCTGATTATGACTAATCATAACATATTAAAATTAATAACACAAACCTAAATCATAAATATTTATATTATTCATAAAAAATATAATTCAATCCGGTATATCCATTTCACCCGAGTAAAAAAAATAAATCATTCAAGTTTGTAACTTGTAAAATATTAAAAATTAGATTTGATATAATTATATATCAAGATTAAACTCAATTATATCCATAAATACCTCTGCTTTTAAAATTTAAAAACATTCTTGAATTTTAATATTTATTTCATATATTTTTTAAAGATGAGTATATAAAATATTATTCTCTAAATGATAAAATAACTATGTTTGGTGTGAATTATTTTTCATTCTTATATGTTTATTGGTCCTTTTCAATGTAAAATTTTTAAATCTCTCACTGTACATGGACTGGGTGAAAAGATAAGAAATGTTTTAAAAATAACGAGAAGTGATTTTGTGTGAGGTTATCTTATATGAAAACATGAGGTTTTAAAGGGAAAAAAACAGGAGAGAAACTGTAAAAATTGGCATTCTTTTAGTTTCTATCATTTATTTATTTAGCGGCAAGGTACAAACCCAAAGCTTATAGAAAATTACAGTGTTGACACTAAGGATTTTTATTTATGAAACCGAAATGGAATATGTGTTAACTTACAGGGACTGAA